TCTTTTTACTATATTTAATTTAATTTTTATTTTTATTATCACAATTATTAAGTAGTAATATTTGAAATTTTGTCTCTCATTTCTTTTTGTAATTTTGCAAACTTTGCAAAAAAAAATTACGAAATTTCCAAGTTATTTTGCAATTGTTGCGCATCTCTTTGCAAACATTTATTGTTTTCACATTGTTATAATTTTTTTTATTTTCACTAAAAGCAATTATTTTTCAGTTTTTTGCGCTTTTAAACAAAAATTCGAGCCTCATAAAATCAATAATTATTATTGCTATTGATTGAGTATAAATTTGGGAAAAATTATAAACTCAATATTTTATAAATCTTTTAGTTTTATTTTTTATACGATTAATTATTAACTTTTTTTTAACAACCAATTTATATTTTATATAAAATGAATAACAGCAGGCATCAATATTTTCAAGAGGAAATGGTAGATAACGAAGCGAAAGGAACCGCAAGTTTGGGCAAGAAGTCTTCGAATAGAAACTCGCCTAATTCAACTGCTAGAAAGGTACAATAACGACTGATAGAGTTTTAAAAATTTAAGAGAAATATTGTACAAATTTATGTAAAAATTTTGTAAGATCTATAAAATCGTTAGCTTTTGAATGATTACTTTTTTTGATAGAGTAAAAAGCAATGAAAATAATATCAAGTTCAGGCTTCGAGCAATATTTCGGATCAGCCAGATCATTTAACTGAAGCATCACTCATTTCGCAACCTTTGAAAATGCTGCCGGTTATTAATTCTGATGATCACAGCAGCTTGGAACAAATAAAAACTGTAATTAAAAAAAATTTTTTTTTATTACTTTCAAAATTGCTATACATAAATGGCTTTTGTAATCGCTCTGCATAGATTCTGTAAAATTAAAAGAAAGCTGAAGTTTTTGATGACCTCGTGAAGGTATCGCTCAGGTCTAATTCTTTAAATATCTGTTCTTAGTGTTGAAAATGTAAGGAATATAAATATATGTATACATAATATGAGGAAAGTATATTTGGTTTCTTATTTTTTACTTTTGCAGATTCTTACAGTCTTTCGTTTCAGCCAGAAATGTAAGTCACCATAAAGAAATTAAATAATTTAAGTTATTGCTGTTTCGAGATTGGTTTTTATAAAATTCATGTATATTAATTTTTAAGTAAATTCATTTATATTAACTACTAAACACTATGTGTAACTTCTACGGCATTTCTATACATATTAAAAATCTAAACATGTTAGGGCTGATTAAGTTCATAGTAAATTGACAGTTGTAGATAGCTGTTATGAACCCAACATCTTTGCGGTAGACCTTACAGTACTTTATGGTTATTAATGGAAGTTATAATTCACTTGAATATTTCCATTTTCAGTGTATTTTTCCAGTGAAGATAGTTGTAATCGACATTTTCGAGAATTTTCATTATTGAACTGTAAAATTGAGTCTACTTACTAGTTCTTCATTTGCTTCATATTGTAATTTTATACTCTCAGCAGCAGGTTATAACAAAAGTTACTCACCATTTTTTAATATAGATTCTGATGAAAGCAATAAAGTAATTGGTCACAGTATACAGGATTCATTATTATGATGCTGAGAATATATATAGTAATTATTGAGGAGTATTGCCATCAATGTGAGAAAATGATAATGTCTACTATCTCAATGATTACATAAATTTAAAGTGACAAAATTTTGATTCATGTTTTCTGTTCCATTTTTTTCAAATTTGACCTTTTGGTTTGGAAGCTGAAAAATATTATTAGTAGTTCTGTGCAATTGATATTTGTCAGACATTCTGAATCTTATCACAAATTCTTCGTAGATGACTCATTTGCAGGATGAAAAGAAAAACATTGCACAGAAATCGTCTGCTACGAAAAGAGTTCCTTCGCAACGTGGAACGAAATCCCGATCACGTGGTCGTACTCCGCCTCGTACGGTTAAAAAAGCGGTAATTTTGGTTGTGAGGTCTTTAAGTATATTTGAAAATAATGAATTTATTGGCATTCAGTGAAAATTATATTATTTGTCATAAAAGCCAAAATTTAAATCTTGCATATGTCATAATTTATAAAAACCAGTTTTTTTTCTCTCTAAAAAAGAGCAATAAATTGTAATTAATTTCATTAAATTTGTGATTACTTTTATCAAAAATTTCATATTTCAGAAAACTAAAAGTGTCATTGAAACGAAATCGGATGACAATTTGTTTAAAGAAATTAAACATCGTGCAGTGCACCATATGACAGATGGAGATCTCATTTCAGAAAAAAATTCCAATGCTGAAAGCGATTTTTCTGTATGTTTTTGTTTTTTTATGAATACTGTTAAATTTTTTACGTGCTTTAGAATAAAAAAGATGTATTAAGTTTTGATATATTAATTTTTAGAGCATTGATTTTGGAGTATTATCAACTGAAACTCTAAAAAAGTATCGTGGGGAAAAACTCTTCTTTTTGAATCGCGAAGAACTTAGAAAACAATTTTCTTGCTTTGTGTACAATATTTTATTTTAAGATATTATTTTAAAATAAATTTTTAAAACTTTCAAAGATGAAATTCTGTTTTCTCTTTCATTTGTTTTAATAGAATATACTGACTCTGCAATAGTTGTTATGTATTCATTTGCATTTTGATTTCTAGCAACTACCAGATGAAAGTGAGGAAATAATTGCTTATAAGAAAAGTTTCCAAAAATACTGCTACTGTTCACATTTTTGGGCCAATCATGCCTGGAGCTTATTTTTCCTCCAGCTTTTAATGGCTGTTTGCTATATGGTCATTCTTTACAAGTTGCTGGTATATTTCGGTGGCGATGTCATGATGAGCATCGCATGGAATAGAACAATAGTGTGTTTTTACTCACAAACTGCTATATTTTTTCCAAATTTTGGATGGAACTTCATAATTGATTTTTCCGCAATATTTTGGTAGTAAATAAACTATTATACATCTTTATGCAATAAATTCAGTAATTGCAATGAAATTTATTCAGGTTTGCCGTGGTGGAAGCTGTTGATGAATGCGTTTCCAGTCTGGAATCCACATTTGATTCTTGTCTTAAAATAAATTTTATCATACTCTTTTGTATCTTGTTAGTTTTATACTGTTTCACAGTGTTTTATGGTCTCAGTTTTATAGAATGCGATGATATCATGAATGAACTTTTTTAATGATTATCTTGTTAAATAACAGATCAAAATAATTTTAATGTTGTTAAATAACAACGATAAAATGATTTTGATCTCTCCATCATATTATCTTTATCATCTCTGTTCAAGGATAACTTTAGATAATTTGTTCTAAGAGTATTTGTGCTATTAGAATATTTGATTTTATCCTAATCTCTTTGTTGTTCGATTTTAAATTCTGTAATTTGATCAAGTTGTCAAAAATAATCGTGGAATAAATTATCATATTTTTATTAAGGACTTGAAATTAGTAGAATTAATAACGTACTTAATTTGCAGCGTGTGGAATAAATAGAATGCTAGGACGTAAAAAACTGTTATTGCAGCGTTAATTAAGATGACGATGAAATACCATTACTAATTTAATTTGCTTTTGAGCTCTATCTTTTTAATTTTGATTTTTACGCATAACTGCTGCTTAAGACAGATTTACTTACTTATCTCAGTAAATTAGTTAAAGGAAGTCTACAAGGCTAATATTGCATTTAAGATCTAATTTGAAATAGAAATTACTAATCCTTAAATATGAAGTTGAACGAATTATATTCAGAATTACATATACTGAATCAATGCAATGTTTTTTATGAACAGAAGTTGTACTGTTCTTAAAACAGTACATGTGCTATTTATTATAATACCTTACCAATGATATTATATCAGTATTGAGTAATCAAATAATTAACTTTATGTACAATTTATGCTATATATCATTTAATCATAATCGGTAATTAATTGATAATACATTTGAACTTTCGTTTCATCCGATTCGTTACTCGAAAGATTGGTCCATGACCGGGAATGATGTGATCTGCTATGCAAGCTAGTCGTCTTCTTGATTCTTCTTGCTGCATTTCATTAATTGCTAACGACTTCCAAATATTTGGGTATTTTAAATCTTCTTTTCGTATAAACACGTCACCTAAATTACGAAAACAAAAATCAGAATCTAGACAGCTACGAATATTAAGTAATAATATTATTGCCGCAAAAATAAGCTTGAGTGAAGTTCAGATGGTATTGTATTGCAATCTCTAAAATTAACTGTGAAACTTTTTGAATAACAAATTGAGTCATAGGTAATACTTGAATGTAAGAAAAAATCTGAACGATTTATGAACTAAACTTTTAGAAATGAAATTTTTATTGAGTGAATATTTTTTGCTAGTCATTAATGAAAAAATGAAATCCTAAATTATCTAACCAGAAATGATAACATTTCCGAAGAAAGAAGTGTTTCTAACGAAGACTGAAATATCTTCTGATGTATGGCCTGGACTTTTTAGCAAGTGGATATTTCGTGTTAAGATTTCCACTTCATCCTGAAATTTACTTTTTCGAACGTGTCTTACTGACAGTTAATGTTTTTGCTCTGACTGGACTTCTAATCATTTTTCTTATAATGACCATTTAATGTATATAATGACCGTCTGATGCATTTATATTATAATGACCATTTGGTAAATATTCTATCCAAAATAGTCATTAAATGATGATAAAGATTGCAAAAAATATTAGAAAATTTATACTTTAAAGATTCTAGAAAAGTTAGAATACATTCCAGAATGTTTAAATCTTCCAATATAATGAATTGCATTCGCAAAATCATTATTGTTTCCAGAATGATCAAGATGACCATGAGTTGTAATTACGTGAGTGATTGACGAAGGAAGAGCACCAATTTCATTCAGCCCTGAATATCGTAGCAGACAATTAAACTTTAGTACAGTATAATTTTAGCTAATAATATTGTTAGTTCAAGAGTACTTCAGCAGTTTAATGCTTGAATAAATTACTAAATCTTCTAATCAGAAAAGTTAATTTTATAGCCAAAATTTTTCTGGAATTTTTAAGATGAATTAAGTTTGGTTTCCAAGTAGTCAAAACTTTTACTTACATACAGAAATAACATAAAACAAACTTTTTAAAATAAAGGTTTCGCCATTGATATCGGTGGCTAATCCCGTGTCCACCAAAACTCTAAATTCGCCATCTGTTACCAAGGTTACTGATGACATGAATTTGTAGTCATCAGAATCACTAATGAAATCAATTGATCCCTAAATAAACTTTTTAAAGCTTTCTTAATATTTTCTACCTATCAATTAAGTAATTTCTTCCTTACAAGATATATTGTATGCAGTAACTAATAATAAATATTCATATTTAATTAATAATCTGAATTTTTTCCAGCTGAAAAATATAAATAAAAATAATGTTATATTTTTATGAAAAGATATTTTTTTTATTTTTAATTAATTAATGATTATTTGCTAAATCTAATTTCAAATTCATGTTCAGTCTGCAACATATTGCAGTGGATTGATTACTTTATACCAAGTTTCTATTGACGAATTGAGTTAATAAATGATAATCACTTCTCTAATGATATAGATTGTTGGCTCATCTTTTATGAGCCGTTCAGTAGAAAATAGAGATTCTGAAGATGAAAAAAATTGAGATTCTAACTGAGAATCTGTTGGTACGGTATCCATATCTGTATTCACATTTTCTTCGTTTTCAATTGTTTTAAATGTTGTTGCCTTCTGTGGTGAATATCGAATATTTCTTTTGAACGCTTAAATCTTTCAATTTTTCAGTTTACGTTCGATTACAATATATTATTCAATTTCATTTGTAATGATTTAACCTTCTAATCTGAATTTAAGTTTTTATTTATTGCATACAAATAGTTTAGTCTAACACTACAAATTTGTGAACTTATCACAGAAACTGATTTAATGATTTATTACTAATATAATATTGTAATCAATTTTATCATCATATTCAGTTAGTTTTTGAAATATTACATTAAAAACACATTATTTAATTAATTCAATTATAAAGTAATCAAAATACCTCCACATCCAGCAGTAACATTATTATTACTACTACTATCCATTTTTTGGGCCCATTTTTCTTCCGTCATTCTGCAAAAAATTAATTCTTAATTATTTATCACGACAGAATTTTTTATTTCGATCTATTATATTGTTCGCAGTTTAAATAATTTTTGTTCCATAATAATTAAACGCTACGAAAGACTGATTTCTGTGCAAATTCATTGTTATTTTCAATTAAATTAAATTACTATTTAAAGATTTTATAATTTTCGCTCTAATATATTATAGACATTATCTTTCACTTTTAGTAACTTTAAAGTTTTTTCAGATATTTATCAAAATAATAAAAAACTAATTTTTAGATTGATTATTGTTAAATAATTGCAATTTTTTACATGATATTCACATAAATAAAATTATTTTTTGATAGTAGTGACAAATTATTACTTTAAAGATGTAGGAGAACACTGAGATTTCTGATTTACTTTTGCGTGACGATAAATGACTTCCATGGGTTTCACGTCTGTTACCGTGAAGCTGCTTCTTTGATATAATGGCTGCTTTGGAGTTGAATCATTTAACAGTTTGATAGTTTTCTTCATTTCATTCTTTTTAACGCTATTCTTTAGTAATTTTTGATTCATTATTATTTGCTGAAAAAAAATATTAGAAATTATTTAAGAAATTACTATTAATTGTATGCTAAGAAATGGAAATTTACTCTAGCAATTATGAAAAAAACAGTTGGAAACAAATTAAATTATACTTTATTAGTTTAAATAATGCAATTTCTAATTACTATTTACTATTTAAAGATTTTATAATTTTCGCTCTAAATAATTTTTCAAATTTATTCATCACAAAAATCTGTTTGTATTTTTCACCCTTTTACACTTTTTATTATCAAAGCTTTAATGTACACTTACAGTAATATTGTTTTTAACAAACAAAATTTACCTTCAATAGTGAAACAAGCTGTTTTAAGTCAGCTGCATTACTTTCAGCATTTTTTACAAAAGCATTAGATGACCTTTCTTGATTTGTTACTAAATTAGAGGTCATTGTCGTCGTAGATGATGTGGGTAACAATTTTCGATTCATTTTAGGAATATGAGAAGAAGCTGATATTACTTTGAAGCCGTTATCACCACCAGCATCAAACTGTACAACACGCAATTGCTCGATAACTTATTTTATCAAGCAGTAAGATTACTTTTAAGTTAATTATTACATTTAAAAAAGTTGCTATTTTTATTCATTGTATTTCTATAATTTCTTACATTAATTATATGCAGCACTGCACAGAATTTGAAGACAATTTTTTGGCACTTCATGTTCTACTATATATTTATAAATATTTTCATCTATAATTGAGATCAGTAAAAAACAATTAATTTTTACAAAAACAGTAATCGATAAATATTTTTCGCCGTAGAATTTTTTATCATAAAATAGATTCACTCGTAAAAATTGTCGTAACATTGGTCTATTACTTGTTAATAATCTCCAGTTGTATTATTACCTATAGTTCTAATAAATAAAGATAATCAGTAATAATTTGATTTAGGATATATTATATCCTCAAAACATGGATTTAAAATCACATGCATACATGCTTTATTATTTGTTATTTATTTTTAAATATAATTTTAAATGTTAGCAACAGCAAAATGTTTGTAAAACTTACATCACCGCCGATTTTAACAATATTTTCATCATTTTGAATATTTTCCATGATTAATTTATCTTTTGTGCTTTCATCTCCAAATATCTCACGAAATGGAAGTCTAGAAACTGATCCTTTTCCACGCTTCACAAAATCATGAAGCCAGTTTAGTTGTGATTTATCAACAGATTCCAGAATTCTCAGTTCTGACTCTAAAATCTGCTTAATTTTTTTCTAATTTTACTGAAGTAATTTAAATATAAAATTCATTCATAACTTTTATCTATTATAATTTCAAAAAGTGCAAATAATAACATGGAATACATATTTTAACTTTTCACCACTCATTAATTTTTGCTTAATTTCATTTATTTATAAATTATCAAAAAATAGGGCCAAAATAATAGCGAAAAAAAAAATGTCGTAATAATAGTAAAAAAAGTTATGTCACTTGAAATAATAATAAAAATAATAGTAGTATTATTTTATAATAGGATATAAATTATAATTTACTAATTAGTTTAACATATAGTAGCAACACTTCATTTTCCCAGTAATAGATTTCATTTATTGGCAGTAATTTAAATTAGATTATAATCAGTTAACAATCATGAAAATTGACTTCCAGTGATTAATCGTTTAAAAAATAAGCAATAATTGCTAATATTAAAAATTACAGCAGTCAGTACAAATTACTATCAGAGTACAAATTAGTATCAAAATACAGCAATTTAGCGAATATAAGGTATAATTTTAGAACGAAATGAGTAATGGCAAGTAAATTTGTGCTAGAAAATATTAATATAAAGTGAAAAAGCAAGTTTTTATAAAATAATTATAGTTACAAAGCTCTGAATAAATTTAATGACGTGTTTGAGTGATTTGATTTTTGTTATA